TTTTCAAAGTTCCGTCTTAGCGGTGTACAGCCCGAAGTTCGAGTATTAGATCGAGCGGTTTTTAGCCGAAACAACCTAAACGAGAATCGAAGATCTCGTTATTAGTAGTGTAACGATAATAAGACAGATGAAAATGGACATCAGATGAAGAAGTTATGAGATTTTAACGGACCAATCTTGTCCCGGCCTGTTAAAAATATAACTTTAAAAATAAAGTCAAAATTAGCCGACGGAGTCTAAACGAAAGTTGTAGAGTACGTCTCCACCTACGCGTGAATATAAAGAACGTCAAAAACGGAGTTCGTATGAACGAGTTACAAATTATAATAGTATATTTATATATTAAAATAAAGTATAAATCATATATACGTACACATATTTACATATGTATATATCATTAGAAAGGTATCGATGATACGGTCATTAGAAGACTAATGTTGAGTTCTTTCGACATTATTTTAGTACAAATATCATTAAATCCATTTAAAATAGTATTATAGAGGGGTGTTTAGTTGTTTATATAACTAAAATGTCATTAAGTAATTATGGAGGATAATTTTTAAAAATTCAATTAGTAAAAATAAGAGCCTTGGGCTCTCATATTTCTTGCACCATTATCTTGATTCAAGAGTCTTTCTCTCCTTATCTCCCGAGCATTTCGGTCCCTCGTGATTCGACTTCTCCTTAAATGATTTGAACTATATACGTATTTTAAATATACAAGTATGTTGGGTATGAGATGGGTAGATGAATGATGAGAGATAAAAGATGATGTGAGTAAACATTGGTAGCTATAGACTTAGTGCCTAAAAAATAACATCGACAACTATGGACTTAGTGCCTATTGGACAAACGCTGGTAGTTATGGACTTAGTACCTGTTAGGAATTGGTAGCTATGGACTTAGTACCTATTAGATAAACACTGATAGCTATGGATTTAGTACCCAACAACTATGGAATTATTGCTTTACGAACGAGCATTGACAACTATGGATTTAGTGCCAGTCCTATAACTCTGGAAGCAAAGGACTTCAGAATGAACGAATGCGGGATAGATGACTCTTAGGATAGATCCTTAAGAGTAAAGAAGATAATGGGGATGGGTAATTGGGTCGATTGTTTGATTATTTAAACATAATAATTATATTATTATGGGTTGAAAACCCTATGTAATCACCAGGTTTCCCAACTTGACCCACTCAGTTTATTTATATTACAGGTGTTGAGATGAAGTCGGATTACACTGAGAGATTAAAGAGATGCAGATCACTAGTGTAAATAAATGTAAGTTCTGTGTATGCTTATGTTTCTGTATTGACGATGACATCCCAAATGTTTTAAAACGAATTAAAAATACTTTTCTTCGGAAATGCTCTGATAACGTATTTATCATGTTTTACTGGGAACAAATTCCGCAACATTTTTATTAAAAGAGGTACTCTGATTTTTATAAAGCATAAACAAAATCGGTCTTTTCTGGCCGTGAAAATGGGGATGTCACAGGAAGGGTAATGGAAAATGGAAATGAGGTTTCATCAAATGTAACATGACATGATAGATGAACTTTGTCGGTTGAAGGATCAAAGCATTGATCATAGCCCCATAAGTGTTCCGGATAACCAAGGAAAACACATATGACAAATCTTGGTTGGAGTTTATGATATTGAGTAGCAGAGATGGTAGGAGAAGTGCACCCGATGGTGTGAAGATGGTTATATGATGGTTGGCGACCATAGAGGGAGAAGGCGGGTGTAGAAAAGTTTAGGTGTATAGTAGGGAGGATATTATGAATGAAGATATGTAGCGGCATGAAGGGCTTCTACCTAAAATGAGTGGGGAAGAGAGGCATGAGTGATAAGGGTACGGATAATGTAATTAAGTCGTCGAATCATCCGTTTAGCTTGTCTGTTTTGTTAGGAAGTGTGAGGGAAAGAGAGACGGAAGACGAGACTGTGAGTTTTAGCAAAGGGTTTTAATTCATTATTGTCAAATTCTCCCTCTACATCGCATTGGAATGACTTAATGGTCCAGTTAAACTGAATATGGATAAGTTTATGAAATTTCATAAAAGTGAGAAATGTGCCAAATTTAAATTTGAGCGGGTATACCCATGCATAATGAGTGAAATTATCCATAAGGACCATATAATATTTATAGCCAGTTTTGCTTTAAGACTGGAGATATCCAAGGATCACAATGTATAATGTCTAATGGTGCATAAGTAACAAATTACGAATCATAAAAAGGTAAGCATATATGTTTAGATAGTTGGCAAGCATTGCATAAAGAGGAAGTTGTAGGTTTATTACAAGAAATTGAAAATTTTGAACAAAGTAAATCTAAAATAGGAGCACCTGGGTGATCTAAGTGAGCATGCAAACAACCGTGAGAGGTGGCAAGAAGAACAATTGAATTGGAAGGTGTTGTGAAGGGGTAAAGATCTCATGTGCTATTATGTAAAGAAAGAAGAGCTCTAGTATTGAGGTCCTTTATAGAAAAACCAGACAGTTCAAATTCAATAGAAGTTTGATTATTGATAGTAAACTTACAAACAAATAAAGGATTTTTAATAATGGATGGAGTAATAAGATATTTTTTTAAAGTATATGAATAAGAGGGGGTAGTGTAAGAAGCATGACCAGACCCATGAATTGGCAGACTAGAGCCATTTCCAACAAAAATCAATGTTATATGCGAAGTACTTATGAAACTTGAAATCTTACCCTGATCAGATGTAAGATGTGTCGAGGCACCAGAGTCCATATACCATGCTAGATCATTGAAGTTAAGATGAATTTATTGCATTGTATTAGCTAAATCTGATGGGCTGTAGTCTAAATAACCAACAAATTGAGGAGTCGGAGTAAGCGTTAGACCTGATGGTTGCATTAGAGGAGGTCCAATTTGAGGTCGATTTAGTTCAATCAAACTAAAACGTTGATACTGACCAATATACCCTTACATTTCATAAATAGAAAGTTCACAATAGTAATGAGTTTTTTAGCAGGATACGAGTCAAGAGGAAAAAAGGACAAATAGGTAAATGGTTAGTAAAAATTGCAATTTGAAAATCAATTTCTATTTAATATGAAAAATAAATATTTGTATTCTTATCACAAAGCTAGAGGCAGGGAAGGTGATTATGGAAGCAATGATTCTAAGTTCTAACAGTAGTATACCTAGAGGCCCTTATTATCGAGAATTAAAGTCAACTTAAATCTTAACATTCCGATCATATACTTGCATATATGAACTGGATTTTTTTTTTGTGGGAAAGCTGTGGTTCATAAGGGAGTCGTCAAAAAAGACATGACAAGTATCAACATTCCGACCAGGATATCCACCTCTGGCTATTCTTGCTTTGTTTGAGTAGATTATATCTTGAATGTTCATTTTACTTAATTTTACATTCAAAATGCAAGTAGGTTTGTCTTGAGGGAAGGTTTGCTGGATAGTGGTGGCTTAACATAATTAGGAAAACCATGGATGAAGGTTTAACTTTTCATTGTGTTGGTTCTTGACAGTTGATAGGCATGCTCATTGGAGTATACTAATTAAAATTTTCAGTTGTTATTTTCCTTTTTTTGGCTCTTTCGTAAATGATGAACATCTTAAAAACTTATCAAGTTTCTATAATAATCGACGACCTCCAACCCCTGCAAATCGGGGTTTCTTCACTAGTTATATATTATTGTTGGAACATATTTAAGGTAAATGAATTAGGGAACGTGAGGAAATACAATCCGTCTTGAAAGATAGGTGAAGTTATGAAAGGAGATGGAAAGCCGTCTTCTTGGACAAATGAGTGAAATTATGATGCAATTCACTCGAAGCGGTAAACCACCCTATTATGCATGTTTATCCCATAATATTTAAATAATTTTATATTTTTTAAGGGTTAGTTGTGAGAAATAGCAATGTACTTTATTAAAGTTCTTGATTATGGCATCGTATATTATGAAGTAGCAGTCTACTTTCATATAAGCTGTAATTCAGAATTATGGCAAAGTACATTGCTATTACTATTCAAAATTGGCTGCTATTATGAGTAAAAACTTAAAGTATGTTGTATCATTGTGAAAAAATCGAAAATGGTTTCATATTATAATTAGAGTTTAAAGTATGTAACTATAATGAATAATTTTTGAAAAGTATGTTGTTATTTCCATCATTAACTATTTTTTATTCAAACTTCAAATGGAGGAATATTGTAATTAAAATCACATATTCTTATGCATTATCATAATTACTACTCATTAATATAATTCATTTTACCTTTTAGTCCTTTTATTGTCAAAATTGGAGGACATTTATGGTATTTGACCATATATAAATCTTTCTCCAGCTAACAACTCTTGTGGAATCCATGAGCAAATTAAGAAGGATATGTTGTTGAAGTCCTAAGAGTACTTTGGATGCCTTCTTAAAAAGTAGATCGATACCATTTTTTATATGTATTAAGTGTTGAATATGAATTGAAATTTATGGATTTATTGTATGTCGAATCTTGAAACTTTTGTACTTTTATATTTGTTGGTTTTGAAATATAGATTTGTTGTAAGTTCGAAGATTTTTGTGTGTTGAATATGTAATTATTATTAATTTTTTCATGAATTTATAATTTTTTTATAATGACAAAATCTGTCGCTAATCTGTTAAAAAAGTATGTCGGTAATCCGTAAGTGAGTTATTCTGATATTGTGTTCGGTAATCCGTTAGTGAATTATTCCATTGGTAATCTGTTGCAAACACATTCTGTCGGTAACCTATTGCAAAAAGAATTTCCGTTAGTAATTGGTTACTAATTGCCGACAAAAAAATCCGTCGCTAAAATTTGTCGTAGCCATCGGAAATCCGTTGCAAACAATTATCGACAAGAATATACCGATGCATATGGGTCGTTGCAATTCCGTTGGCAAAGCCTATTAGCAACGGATTACAGACGGCTTTGGCCATGGGTTATGCTCTTTTTTGTAGTAGTGGGTTAAACGGTTTAGGCTAAACAAAGGGCTAACATTAACATTGCTAAACCGATTAAAGGGATAAACATTAACATTGGCCCAAACTAAGAAAGGGCCCAATAAAGTTATTAGGCTAGCAAAATAAACATACCATTTTATATAGAGATTCACTGATTTGAACACACGCATATTTCATTTTCTAGTCAATGAAACGACTATATTAAAGTGTCTGGTTTTTTTGTTTGCTAGATCTTCAGCCACCAGATTTTGGAACTTCTGAAATAGCACATCAATATTTATTAAATTTCCAAAATGAGATGTCAACAACGGTTCATAAACAGCTCTGAGAACATTTGCACAGTTTTTCCCATGGATGTGGCTCTGCTCATCTAAATCTTTCACATTTGTGTAGTCCGTATCATATGGATCCCAGTTTACTTGAAAAGCAATCAAGGTATCAAGTGAAAACGATCCCTCATTGTGAATAATATACATGAGTTCATCCTTGCATGGAGCATAATTTGGGACATTGAATGAGTGCAAATATGATTCTTGAACCAGTCCCTACAGTTATTAAAAGCATATATGGTTACTTACGCACACAAAACAGAAATTTCAAGTGGTTATGGTCGACTATATACCTCTTCGACCATATTGAGTAATGATTGTGCTATTAGCTCAAAAATACGACCACCATCATCAGTGGTTAGATCAACACTGCTACGACCACGAAATGTTAAAACCATGCACCCACCGTGCACAACTTCGTTGGACCGCATTTGTAGAAACTTTATAAAGTCGGATTGAAATTGACTTTGATATGCTTCCAACACATTCAGTGGACTTGATTTTGCCATGTATATATTTTCTTTATTGTTTTCAATGCCTTTAGGTACCTATAGAATGTCCACGTGACTATGAATTTGCATCAAAAATAGTTTGAAGTGACATGTATGCACAATTGTTTTCCAAAATCTTGTTTGTCCGGTTTATAAATGTGTTCCTATTCAAATTACTGCACAGTTCTAGTTAATAATACTTGAATTTTTTTACAATTCTCATCTTTTTATTTGCGCCCGGTAAGAAATCACTTGTAAAACGTAATCAGGGGTAGAGACAGGAATTTTGAAACGGGGTATATTTTATTTAGTTATCTTATCATCCTAGATATTAAAAAACATGATAAAATCCCTTTAGTTCGGGTATAGATAGAACATGTTTAAAAATAATTTTTTTATATATGTAAAACAACTTTTGTAGGGATGTTGCACTGAACGTAATATTAGTCAGAGTCAATTATAATTATATGCAAACCTGTGAAAGCCAATGAAGAGCATAAGAGGAGTGAACAAAGTGTAAGCTTTCATCTGGAAAGAGTCTACCATAAAAGGAACCGGGATTAGCTGAAACAAAACAAGACCAAAAATTTTCTCCCTTCTCCTTCTTAAGGTTTGCAGTAAACTTGGGTAGCAATTGGAAAATGGTATTGAAATCATTTCCAAAAAGATCATTTAAGAAGACTTGAAATTGTGGTGCTTTATGATTATTTTCTTTACAGAGCTTAAGGACTAAATCAATAACCATAGATGCCAGCAATAGTGTATTTTTGCCGGTGCCACATCCTAAATCTGCTAGTACGAAAACTTTGCTGAAGGCCGCTTCAATATTAACCATTCCTTTGATTGTATGCTGTAAAACCTGCAGACTTTTCCGTATGGCAGTTTCCTGAAAAATAGTTTGATTAATTACAGCATTATTACTATTTTTAGACTAAGAAGTTTAATGGTATTTAATGACAGCGTAAGAGACCTGAAGAAATGAGTTACTCGCGTAGCTTGATTCTCCATCGCCAACATTCATGTGTAGTGTGTTTTCTACTTCCATGGCTATATATATGTTTCCTTTGCCTTAATTTGCTCTACAACTGCCTTCATTTATAAGCTTCCACATGTGAACTGTTCATCTCAAACTCTTTTCATTTTACCTTTAAATTATTACTATATTTTTATATTAGTGATAAACCATTAAATTTAATACTATTATTTAATTAAGTATGTTTTATTGAAGTAATCTAAAATGAAGTTGACTCGAGTTAGAAACCGAGAGGCTTTGATATTTAAAATCATATTATAAAATATTTCCTTAAGTAATCTGTAATAAGTGAGACATCTATTTGTATATGCTATTTCTAAAATTTTCTATTGGTACATCCGTATCTATTTTTTCTTTGGAATGGCTGAAAATTATATTAAAAACTAGTAAGAAGCAAGAGAAAAACAGTTACATCACCATAGTAGCTAAGAGGGGTTATGAAAGCATCTAGCCCAAAGTAACTTTACTATATCTATTAGAAACCTAAAAGAAAGACTTTTCAACAACTTCATCAAAAACTAAAGACTTCTTTGGGAGAACTATTCCAAAAATAACTGTATTGCGAAAATTCCACATGCACCAAAAAGAAGTGATAATGACCGCATCAAACACCTTTCGTTGACCCCTCCGCAAAGTAACATCATCCGACCAATTGATTAAAGACTGCACCGAAAGCTAAGCTGGAAGAGATAAGCCCCACCAAACAACGATCATGGTCCAAATATCTATCAACTCGAAACAACTTGTAAAAATATGATCAATAGTCTCCACTGCACGAGCACAACTTAGGCACATAGTTGAGGGAACCATAACGACTCTATTAGATAATCTCTCTACCATAGGAATACTAGAATTCTGAACCTTCTAGATTAGAATATTGAATTTACTAAGGACCAAATTATTCCATCTAGTAATCATATCCCCTGAGGTAATTAAACCACTGTCTAGAGCATAACAAGCAAACGAAACAGAGAAAATGTCGAAATGTCAAGAGACCACCCAACCTATCCGTGATACACCTGTACTTGGTTTTTAATCAGGTTATTATTGTCATATTATAGAATCTTTCCTTCAGTAAATTACAAGTATTAAAAATGTCATTTTTTCATAATTAACGAATAAAATAGAAATATTTCTTAACGTTATTTAAAAAACCAATTCTAAAATTCAGCGACCGATAAAAACAAATATTAAAGATGTTATTCCCTGTTCATAACTATCAATTATTAATTAAGTGATTCAAATCTCAAATTGGTCCTCGTAAAAACCCTAAAAAGGTTTTTACGTGTTAGAAAGTTGGAGTTGAGACTATAAGAAATAGGAAAGGATATATACCTTGTTTTGTTAATGACCATAGAAGAAATGATTTAACATGGTAATATAATTATTAGTTGTACACATTTAATTCTTATTATTTTTATGTAAAATAAGTCAATGAACTTGTTTTCTTACACATTTAATCTCTGTGATATCCTAATCCTACATGGGACAATCTGTAACAACATAAAATTTTCAGCCAAAATTTTCATTTTGAAACACATAAAAAATCATAAAATATTTCACAAAAACATAATTGTTTCAAGTGTCAACACAAATCCTCATAAAAATTTCACTATCCCAGAATCCACGTAATCTCGAATCGGTGTGTACAATCAAGCCGGCGTCTTCCCGCGATCCTGAGAGGTACCTAAAACACATATTACACAACATAGTAAGCACAAAGCTTAGTGAGTTCCCCAAAATACCATATACACAAATAATAAGCCTCTCATAGCTATAATTCAGCATGAACCCTCCGGTCTTATGTGTCTCGGTGAAGACCCTCCAGTCTCACGACTCAGTGTGGACCATTCGGTCATGTGTCTCAGTGAGGACCCTCCGATCTCACAGCTCGGGTTGGACCCTCCAGTCCGATCTCAGTAAAACATAGAATAGCATAGCAGATATCACAAAGACAAAAATGCATAATATCAAATAACTCAATATAAGCACATAGGATCCTATGGTCGATAACTCAAATAAGACCCTCCGGTCACTCGGTATTACCACTCAAGTAAGTATAGTGATAAGACTCACCTCATAAGAAATCGGATAACCTCGAACTCAAATCACCGGTCTAGCCTCCGCCTAACACAAACGATAATTATTTCTAATTAATAACGACTCTCAAAGAAGCTAGAGTAATCCTTCTACAAACTCACAGAAGGATAAAATACCATTCTACCCTCCATGGCCTTGATAGTCCACAAATTGACCAAACCCTAAAAGTCAACTAAAAGTTAACGACAGTGCATACGCTGCGCGTACAAGCCCTCTATGCTGGGCGTACTCTATTGTCATGCATGCATTGGGGATTCTCGACCCTACGTTGGGTGTACTGGGATTACGCTCAGCATACACCCCAATTTTGCTCTTTCTACTTGTTTGGTCTTAACCCGTTAAGACCTTAGCTCAAATCTAAGATCTGGACTCCCTAAAGGCTCATACTCCATAAAGTCTGTGACTTTAAGCCTTTGCATCGCTGATAAAGTCACAAACACCAAAACTCTCACTCTTTATTGTCAAGAATGCTCATATCTCATGCATGGGTTGGTTTACATGTCCAAGTCTCGATTTTTATGACTCTACATCACTAAAAACACTCAAAGGAGCTGATAACAAGCTCTGGAGCTTAATATCTCATAAAGCATTCAACTTTGGGACCAAAACCCTAAAATGAACTAAAATGATGCACAAATCAAAAGGGTAAGAAATCTTTGAGCTTTATACCTCTAACTGAAGCTCCAACCACAGATAAGCTCAGATCCAAAGCCTATACTTCCACTCCTTCCTCTTTAAAGCTCATTCTTCACTGCAAAGAAACACAAGAACACTTAATAGCTCACAAATGGACACACAAGCTTAAAGGATGAGAAATTAGGATTTGAGAGAGTTGATGTCGGGGAATGGTGGCCAGAAATGAGGCCATCATGTCCTTTAAATAGGGACACACTCTAAATTAGGGTTTTCACTATGGGCCTAGTACGCCCAATGTACTAGGTGGATTTTGCGTCAAAACACGCACATGAGTACGTTGAGCGTACCTCGCGTACGCCCCGCATACTCATTTACCACCTTTTTCTCATACAAGGGCCAAACTCGACAATCACCAAAAGAATAAGGGTTTATAAAGTATACTTGGTCTTGGGATGTTACAATTCTCCCCCACTAGAATCATACTTCGAACTCGACGTCATGATCCGTAAATAACTTTGGATACTGCTCGCGCATCTCGGACTCCGACTCCAAAGTCCACTCGGATCCCTTCCAATGTTGCCACTGGACCTGAACCAGGGGCACCTCTTTCTTCCTCATAACCTTCACTTTCCGATCCAAGATCGCTATCAGCTTCTCAATATAATTCAGGCTCGCATCCACCTAAACATCCTCTAATGGTACCACTACCGTCTTATCGGCTACACACTTCCTTAACTGAGACACGTGAAAGGTGTTATGAACCTGACTCAACTCTACAGGTAGCTCCAGCCGGTAAGCTACCTTACCTACTCTAGCGATCACTCTGAAAGGACCAATGTATCGGGCCCCCAACTTGCCTCGTTTCCTGAATCATATCACCTTTTTCCATGGGGATACCTTCAGGAGGACAAAATCTCCAACCTGGAACTCTATCTCGGATTGTCGTCGAGCTGCGTAACTCTTCTGGTGACTCTGGGCTGTTAGTAACCTCTTTCTGACCTGTTGAATCTCGATTGTCTTCAGCACTATCTGAGCGCCACCCATCACTCGATGACCTACCTCTCTCCAACAGATGGGAGTCCGACCCCGCCTCCTATATAAGAGCTCGAAGGGAGGCATGCCAATACTGGAATGGTGGTTGTTGTAAGAAAACTCAGATAAGAGCAAATAAGTGTCCCAACTTCCTTCTAAGTTCATGACACATGCACGTAGCATATTCTTGAGCGTCTGAATTGTCCGCTCACTCTGCCCATCTGTCTGCGGGTGGTATGCGGTACTGAAATGCAACCAAGTACCTAACTCATCATGAAACTTCTTCCAGAACTTGTAAGTAAAGCGCACATCTTGATCTGACACTATCGAGGTCATCAATCCATGTTATGCTACTATATCTCACATAAATCTCAGCTAGTTTCTCTGCAGAAGAGCTCTCACTGATGGCAAGGAAGTGAGCACTCTTCGTCAACCGGTTTACAATCACCCATATCGCGTCAACCCCACACGCAGTCCTTGGTAGCTTTGTGATAAAATCCTTCGAAATATGTTCCCACTTCCATTAGGGAATCTCAAGAGGCTGTAATAGGCCATGTGGATGTTGGTGCTCCGCCTTAACCCGACGACAGGTCAAGCACCTCTCAACTACCCATGCCACGTCTCTCTTCATATAGGGCCACAAATAATCTCTATTCAGGTCCAAATACATCTTAGTGGCCCCTGTGTGGATCGAGAATCTCGATCTATGTGCCTCCTCCATCAATATACGTCGTGCTCTGCCTGTATAGGGTACCCAAATTCGCCCTCGGAAGATCATAAGCCCACGAAAGTCCGTCCCAAACTCGAAAGCCTGCCCAATCACCCACTCCTCTTGCAGTTCTTCGGTCTCACGGCTTCCACCTGGGCCTCTCGAATGGTATCTAAGACCTGAGTCATCACGATCATCCTCATGCACACATCTCGGATCGGAGCACTTGCTGCTCTACAACTCAGGGCATCGGCTACCATATTAGCCTTGCCTGGATGATATAAGATCTCGTAGTCATAGTCCTTTACTACATCCAACCACCTTATCTGGCTTATATTCAGGTTGGGCTGATCCATGAGGTACTTCAGGCTCTTGTGGTCCGTATATATGGTACACCGGAGCGCATACACGTAGTGGCTCCAGATCTTGAGGGCGAACACCACTGCCCTCAGCACCAAATCATGGGTGGGATACCTCGTCTCATGAGGCTTCAACTGTTTTGATGCATACACTATCACGTGCACCCTCTGCATCAACACTGCACCCATCCCGAATATAGAAGCATCACAATTAACTATAAAGTCCTCCACTCCCTAGGGAAGGGATAACACTGGGGCTTCACACAATCTCTAATAAAGAGTCTCAAATGAGGCCTGCTGCTTAGGCCCCCAAGTAAAAGTAACACCTT